TCAATTTAAATTATGATTCTTTTAAAACAAAGTTTTTCCAAGCAATCACAAACTTGCTTTATCATTTTTCAGACATTTAATGAAATAATAACATTTCATTTAATTCATTTTATTCAAAAAATTTCAATTTACTCAAAAAAAGATCATTTAAAATTAACTTTAGAGCTGTAGACTGGTGCAAAAACAATGTTATTTTTATTTTAACAATCAAATCACTTGGTTTTTTTATTATTCAATTTTTTTACTTATTTAATATTAATTTAAAGCTTTTTTTAATACTGTTTTTATTGTGAACTAAAAATTGATATAATCTTAAAACTATGTTTAATATATATATATATATATATATATATATATATATATATATATATATATATATATATATATATATATATATATATTATTTTAATTTTTGGAATCACTGTATCTAAAAACTTAGAGGTTTATAACTTATTATATATATATTTATTATATATACTTATTATATATATATATTTTTTTTGTATATATATGTATATATATATCTATATATGTATATATATATATATATATATATATATATATATATATATATATATATATATATATATATATATATATATATATATATTATTTTAATTTTTGGAATCACTGTATCTAAAAACTTAGAGGTTTATAACTTATTATATATATATTTATTATATATACTTATTATATATATATATATTTTTTGTATATATATACTTATTATATATATATAACTTAATATATATATATTTATCTCTATTATATATATATATATTTATATATATACTTATTATATATATATACTTATTATATATATATACTTATTATATATATACTTATTATATATATATATATATATATATATATATATATATATATATATATATATATATATATATATATATATATATATATATATATATATATATATATATATATATAACTTATTATATATATATATTATAATATAACACTTTAATATCAAGTGTTAAAGAGAAAGATACAATATCAATTCTAGATATGCTTAATTAAAAATCTCACAAAGAACATGTAAGAACCACTTGTTGATGTTCTTAAACATAAAAACGAAATAGTTTCAATGTTAAAAGCTGCAAAAATCATTAAAAAAAATTGACCTAAATTATTAAGAGATTAGTGCAAAAAATAAAAATTCAAAAATACTCAACCTTTTGGCTTATTTTTTTGAAATACATGACAGAGTTGTTAAAATGGCTAATTAGCAATCATTTGTAAATAAATGGAAATAATATCTTAATTGTCATGAGTCATTAAACTTTGTAAGATTTTAGAATCTGTCAATTAATTGTAAAGTTCCACCCATTATTTATCAAACATAAATTAGGAAATTGAATTTCTTAATGTCAATTATATATTACTAGCATTTTTGGACACACTTTTATATTGCTAATATTATCAGATTATTTATTATTTTTTAAACTTTTAAATTAGTCTAAAAATATCATTTATCAGTAATTAAGAAGTAATTAATTTTATAAGTGTTTGAATAACGGTTATGTAAAAAAAGTTTGTTACAAAGGTTTGAATGATAATTATGTTGGATATAAGTGCTATTTACAAACAAAATAATTTCATAAAAAGTTCAAATAAAACCTAATTTTTTTTAGGGTAACCTTTTTCTCAAAATATTTAGTAACAGAAAACAAATTTTTTGATTGTTAACAACAAATTTTATTGTATACAAGTTATTAAACAATGCTTAAAAAAAACAACCCAAAAAAATATTTATAATAAAAAAAATTTACTTATTTTATATTTATCATCTTACAAACTCAAAAATATTTATTCAGAAAACTTTTTATTCAATAAAAAAATTTACAAGAATTTATGTAAATAATAATAAAAATAAAAAGTAAAATAATAACATAAAGAAAAAGTAAAAAAAAAACAACAACCTTAAATTCTATATAAACATGTTACAAAGCTGCATCTAAAATTTGCACAAAATGGCCGCTAAACTATTTTTCATAAAAAAATTAAAGCACAAGAATATATTTTTTAATAAATTTTAATTGGAAATTAAAATTTATTAAAAAACATATTTAAAATAATTTCTTGTCTTGCCTGTGGTAAAGTAATTAACTAAAGTTCTTATTTTTGCAATAAGTTTTATTTTTCATTTGTTATTCATTAATTTTTAAAAATAAAAAATAATTATTATTGCAACTAATAATAAAGCTGCAAATACAAATTTAAGAAACAATTATTAAATAAACTTTTTGCAAATAATTTTTGATAATGTTTTAGAGAATCTTTTTGTAAATAAGATATAATAATGTATAAGATATAAATATTTTTTTTGTGTTAAATTTTAATATATTAAATGGTTATATTTTTCTTTTTTTGAAAAAGTTTAATTCTGTGGAAATGAAATTTGGTATCATTAAACTTAAAATGTATCCTTTTATAACTTTTTTTCACTACTTAAAAATCGTTTTTTTAAATTAAATTTGCTATTTTCACTGAAAAATTATGATTAAAAAAAGTAAATAATGAAATATGGGGTTAAATGAAATAACATTAACTGTTAATTTGATAAATGGAGTTTTTATCCAATAATTATCGCCAGATAAGGTAATATAGCCAGTTTAGCATATTTATCAGTTTTTTGTTAAAATCTGCTAAAGTTTCAAAGATACCCATGTCTAACTCTACATACTTTTTATAACTTAATGTTAACCTGACATTTTAATTTCTGTTACAAAAAAATTAAAATAATACTCTTGTTGTTGAATGTTTTTTGCATGTCATTTTTTGTCTCTTCAGATTTAAAAAATGCTAACTATTGCCAAGCAAATACTTGTGGAGCAATTTGGCTAAAATTTTAACCAGACCTCTATGAGCTACTTAGGTAAGTCGATTATTAAGCTCAAAGAATTTACATTAAGGTAAGTGGGGTAAAATTATATACATTTATATATTTTTTAAGTTGTTGCAATATGCCATACACATACAAACCAAAGAAAATCTCTTTATCACCAGGATGAAGACCTGTGGGATCTGGCTGCATTGAAACACTTCACCAAATATATCCTTCACAAACAAAAATAAATTTCTCTGGGTAAGATTAGGCTTACGGATTTTTGGAAAGGCATTACAATCTGACTTTACAGAAAATTGGTCAGAACATTTTTTAGAGCCACGCAGCTGTAAGTAATGAACAGTTAGTTGTTTATTTTCAACAATCTGCAGAACCTGATCAAGGACATTGTCCTTCTAATGTAATGAACTATAATAAGACCAATCTCAGCAAAAACCCTGGCTCCACGATATGATTTACAGAAAGGCTACAAGGCACCTAAATACCATTATAAAGATTGAAAAGCTTTTGCAATTTGTTAGGAACTTTTGTATTTTATTGTAACTGTATTTTGAAGTTTGTTTTAAAAATCTAGTTTTAGGATTTGAAACATACTTTTTTTAATTTCATAAACATGTATTGCAATGTTTTGTTGTTTAAATTAGGTTTTTTTGTCAAGCAGCCTAACTAGCTATATTTTGATTTTTTTAAAATGATTTTCATTAATAAACTTTAGAACAAACTAAAGCTTTTGTTTTTACAAATAAAGAGCATATGATCATGCTTCTATTCAAAAGATAAATTTAGCGTAACGTACTTTATAAACTCTAATAAAAAAACTTCGACAGAAACATTCTTTTAAGAATTGCCAAAAATTATGCTTAACTAGAAAAAAAAAAAAAAAACAATACAAAAAACAAAAACAAATCGCAAAAATATTTAAAAAAACTTATCACGAAGGTGTGAAAAGCAATCACCATTCCTGATCGTAATATGCTTTTTTCAAACCCTGATATTTCTGTATATATATATATATATATATATATATATATATATATATATATATATATATATATATATATATATATATATATACAGAATAACTTTCTACAATTATTAGAATTACAATTATGTTGATGTTTATTGATAAGTCAAATGAGTTTGATGAAAATTACTTCAATAGTTTCATGCAGAATAATTTTTGCAACTTATTAAAAGAATTATTGAAACCAGTAAAGAATTTAAAATACCAGTTTATTTTAGCTCAACAACATTGAAGTTGATTAGTCAAAATTAGAAACTGTTTTATATTTAAAATACTATTGTTGTTTAAGACTTCATTATTTCAACTACAAAAACTCACGCCACTATCCACCGCATAGCTATACTATCTCAAACATGTATGCTGAAGCAATATGCAAAAGTCACCAAGTTTTATTGCACCAAAAAGCGCTGGACAAGTTTCAGCTTATTTTAATCTCCAGAATCCTTCAACAATTCAAAATCATCACAAGTATAATTTTTTTTTTATCATTAGTTTTTTTATTAAATTGTTATTATATGTTGTATTTTTAGTAAAATCTTCTTTCAACTATCCATCAATTTTCAGATTCTCCCAAAATGTGAATGTAGGATTTAATAACTGTTTCAACTAACAAAAGTATCTTTAACAAAAAAAATTCTTTTTGGGTAATATTTAAAAAAACATATAAAATAAATTTAAAAAAACATTTAAAAATTATTTTCTGTTAATTAAAATTATATTTTTAGAAAAGAAATATAACAAATGTAGACAATATTTCTTGATTAAAAAACAAAAGGCAAAGTACAGAAAAAATTAAAAAATAAAATACAAAAACTACAGTGATAGTATCATTCTAAGAAAAAAAAATTCAAGAAAATAGTGTTTTACATTTAAAACGTATACTTGCATCTTATATATAAAGCTTTATCTTATATTTAAAGCCTTTTTTACAATATTAAATAATAATATAAATGTTAAATAACATTTATCTAAAAAGTTAAAAAAAAATTATAAACTTATGCTAATAAAATTTTTTTTATTCAAACATGTTTTCTGTTAATAAAATTTAGTTATACTATCAGTGGTAAAATAATTTAAATTCTTTAAATGCTTGAAAATTAAAAATCTTACGCAATTCATCTGTTAAAACTGATTTCTTTTTGCTGTTTTCCTTTATACCAAGTCCAGCTTTATTTTTGCAATAGACCAACACTGTATAGTTTGTATAAGGATCAAGACCATTAATGTTGACATTGTAGTTTGCAATCTTGTAGCTTTATTTATTAAATCAAATAAATTATAACTCATACATAACTTTACAATAAAGAAACAAAAAATTTGTAAAGAAAATATCAACATACTTAATACATTCTGTTTTTACTATCTGTGATCTGTTTTCAATATCTAAACAAAATAATTGACTGTCGTGTATCCCCCACTTTAACACCGAGATATCATTCCAACTGATATTAATTGCCGAAGAATTAATGTAACCAATATAAGTAATTTCTGCACTTTCTTCTGGTACTAAAATAATTTGTTTGGTAAATAGTAATAACAATGACTATAAAAACAATAATAGTTATAAATATAGTAATGATAATAACAATAAAATCATTAATAGAAATGATATTTATAAAAATAATTATTACAATAATAAAACAAGTTGCAACATAATGTTAACATTAGCACCAAAATAGAAACATTTTAAAATTTTTTTAAAAAAAATCACATCCCAAAGGCTCCAGTATATTTGATGAGGCTCTGCTACAGGAAACTACTATTTTTTTATTTCAAATTAAAAAATAGTTCAATAGAAATAATTAGTTACAAAAAAAAAAAAAAAAAAAACTTCTCACAAAATAATAACACATTGCTTCTAAAATAAATATTGGTGACACAAGAAAAGCTTCAATTTTTTATTTCTAATTTTGGTGAAGCTTGTTGTTAGTAAATTTATGTGAACTTTAATCATTGATCAACTAAATAGAATTGTATTAATAATTGCAATAAAACTTGTATATTTTTTAATTGTAATTGTAACAAAATTGTAAATGAAATAAAAATTTTAACAAAATTTGAAAAATATTTCAAAAATTTTTTTAAAGAGTTAAAATATCAATCAGTTATTTTTAAATGTTGACATCTTCAATAGATTTTATTTGTATAAATATCTTAAAATAAAACTTCTTTTTATGGATTAATTTTTATTTGTTAAAAATAAATTTATTTTTACGATATTTCAAGTAGCTGTAGCTCAGTGGTTAGGGCACTTGCTCCAGAAGCTAGTGATCTGTGGTTCAACGAGCAAGTTATAACATCGGCTTTTTCAAATGTAAAAAAATTAATTTGAATTAGATGAAATTGAGAAAACTTGCAACTTTCAAATTTTGCTAGTTATAGTTTCATGGTATACCTAATTGTAAAACAAATTTTTTGAGGTTAATTATGGAATTGGGAGTTGAAGTTAACAATTTAATATTTTTTAATATTTTCTGCCATCAGAGAAAAAAAGTTAGAAATAGTATTAAAAATAGTATTAGAAATAGTATTAAGAATAGCACTATGAAGCTTATAATTTTATACTTAAGCATAGATGAGTATTTGACTTTATGAAAATCCTGGAAATTTTTTTTCTATGATAATCCCAGAAAATCTCAGAAAATTATTTTATTAAAAATTGATCGCATTTAACTGACAAACGGAATTTAGATTATTTAACTTTTTACAAAAAGAGATTTCTAATATACGAAAAAGTTTGAAATAATTAAAAAGCAAAAAATAATAAAAAAAAAAAAAAAATTGTTACAAATATTGATTATGAAATTGATCTCGTGAAATTGATCTCGTGAAAATTTTAATTATAGAAAACATATTTGTTTAAATGCAAAAGTGTAAAATTTAAAATTTTATCTAAAAATATATTAACTTTTTTTCAAATTAATATAAAAAAACATCCAGAAATTTCTGGAAAAATTAAAAGTGTTTTAAGTGAATTTCCGGAAAAAACTCATCTATGCTTAAAAGTATTAAATTAAAGAAAATCAAGTTATTTTAATCAACTTTTTATATTTAAGTATTTATTTATTTTTAAGACAACTTTGCTTCCTACAAGGCTGCAAGCAACCACTAATTAGTGTTGGAATTTACTGGAAGAGAAAAGATGAAGATTGTAGAGCAAGAAAACGATAGACAGATGACTTAAAGATTGCAAATTATATGAATCAGGAGGAAGCAAATTCCAAAGAATTAATGTTCTAGGAAAAAAACTAGACGAATAAGAGTTTTTGGACCGATTAGGAACAGTAACAGAAAAGGGATGAGACTTAATTAAATGACAAGTAACATAAGAATAAATTTTAGTAGATGGCACAAGAGACACTAGCTCTTTAGAGCAGTGTTCATTATAGTATTTGTATAGAAGAGAAAGAGAAGCAACATTACAACGATGTGATATTGGTTGAATATTGGCTGCAAGATTAGGTCCGACTATGTTTACAATGCATTTTTGCACCTTGTCTAAAAGAAAAAGGGCATCATTAGAAGATCCGTCCCAGATATAGCAAAAGTATTCCATACAAGGCCGGATTTGAGATTTATAGAGATAAAGAGTAGAATCCAAAGTAAGGAAGTGTCGAGCTTGACAAAGAGATGCAACTTTAGCAGATACTAATTTTGCAATGGATTTGATATATAAGTAAGATCATAAGTAAGAGTTAACCCTAGAAGATGAAGGGTAGATAATTTATCAAGTACATTACTGTTCATAAATATAGGAAAATCTAAACTATTGCAACAACAATGGAATGAAAAAAATTGAGTTTTATCTGAATTAAAGTTCATCAGCCACTGTGAGCCCCATAATGTAGCAGAAGTGAGGTCTTTTTCAAACTCAAATGCCCTCTCCAAGCAATCAGAGAGAAAGAGTTGGCTTCTTATCATGACCAGAATAAATGGTAGTATCATTAGCTAACAATGCCACTTTAGATGTGAGTATATCTGGAAGATCGTTTTTGTCAATTAAAAAGAGTATAGGGCTAAGGATTGAACCTTGAGGCTCCGAAGGTTACAGAATAAGAAGAAGAGTGCTGTCCATCAAGGACAACTTTTATACTATGATTGGAAAGGAAGGATTCAATAATCTTAAAGATGTTTTCAGATACACTGTTAGAAAAAAGCTTATGAAGAAGACCAGCATGCTAAACTCTATCAAACGCTTTAGAAATGTCAAGAGCGATGGTCTTAACCTCTCCACCTTTTATCTAATGCACAATAAAACCTATCGATTATTACTGTTAGCAAATTAGCCGTAGAACAAGAAGATCAAAATCCATATTGATGATCAGTTATTAGATTCAAGATGAGAGATTAAATGTTTGTTAATTAAAAATTCAAAAACCTTGCTTATGATAGGAAAAAGACTAATGGGACATAACAAAGGGCTCCAATGTGGCCTTGGCAATGCCCACTAAAAGTACAAACAGGGACACCATCCATGCGCAACATGGCACTGTTAATACTTTGATACTTTTCAGCTCTGTGGTAGCTCTCAGCCTCTCTGAGAGCTACCACAGAGTTTGGGAAACCTGACTACCAGCCGGCCTCAGAACTATAAAACTAAGTTTTAGAGCTGTACCCTCATTAGGAGACAATAAAATGAGTTACCTAGTCTTAAAAATGAAGACGCAAGCAAAACCCATGCATCGAGTCAAGAAGATCCAGCATTCAACATTCTAAACTGGAAACAATGTATTAAAAATACATCTGCACCAGCTTAATAGATAAAGAAGGGGTGCGAGGCTGGTCAACAGATAAAATCTGTTTACCTTAAGTCTTTGCCTAGTAGGCCTTCTACAAGACAGCAGCGGGATGCATTTTACATCTGCCCAAGATGAGTATTTTTATCCAGACGCCATTTCTAGCCTTTACTCAACCACGAGCCCTGAAGCAGGGGGTGTTTTATGTTGGCATCTCCAAGCCTTTGCCTAAAAAGGAGTATCCTACAAAGCAGCAGTACATGAAGCAGATTGCACTGGGTTACATGTTACCAGTAGCAGGATAAACCTAAACTGACAAAAAATTTTAAAAAAGAGACTTCAGACTTTTGACATAAAACATATTTTATCAAAATATTCAAAATATTCATAAAGGGCTTCCATAAATATGCAATTTTTATTTATAAGCGAATAAAACTGAAAAGCTTTAGATTTGAAAATATCATGAACTCTAAAACGTTTCATTAAAACTAAGTTTCATAAACATTTTGTGTTAAAATTAATATCCCAAATTATTGACTCTTTCCTTTAGGTTAGCTTTAAGTTTAAGTTCTTCTAACCAAAGTCTGATTAAAATTTAAAATATAATCAAAATATTTTATATTGTTTCAAACAAAAGACTTTTTTATATTTTACTTACATCCATCTAAAGTTGTATTAAGCATAGATGTTTGAACACCACAACCAATTTTTGTGCATGCTGTAATTGAACAATTATAGGTTGTATTGAAAATCAGATTGGTCACTACTGCATAAAATGTATTGTTGTCAACTGTGTACCAATGATTTAATTTATTGTTACATAAGTATTTATAACCAACAACTGTTCCGTTTGTCTTAGAATATTCAACCTTATCCCATGACAACAATAAAGATGAAAAATTGACTGGTTTAACTGCAAAATTAAGAGGAGGTCCACTTGGAACTGAATAATAATAAAAAAAATTTAAATATAAATAATGACAAAAAGAAATCAAAAAAAATAAAAAATAAAAAAAAAAAATTTCTAATAATTTTTCTTTAAATTTCCAACTTTTGTAAACACTTTCAGTAGTATTAATAAATAATATAGACAATAATAAAAGCCATTGGTAAAAATTGAGAAAAAAAAGCAGTGGTATCATATTATTGAGTTACTTTTAAAATAATGCAAATTTTAAAAATTCTTCCAAAGAAGTCCTTAATTAAATAAATTTGAGAAAAGTAAACAATGATTATTGCTGCTCAAAATAATTCTTCAATAAAAAAAAAACTTAACTGAGTTAACCCAATGACTTAATAAAATTTAAAAAACTTCAATTTAAAACTGTCCAATGTTTTTTTTATTAAAACAATAGCTCAAAAACTTCTAAAAAAGTTTCAGATCATTAGAAAGTTCTAAAAAGTTTAAGAGAGTTCCAGATTTTGTGAAAAGTTCAAATATATATATATATATATATATATATATATATATATATATATATATATATATATATATATATATATATATATATTTTTTTTTGGTTCAAGATCTTCTCCCAGTTCTGGAGAATCCAGGAGAGATCCAAAAAGAGTTCTAGAACATAGAAATTTCTATAATTTAAAAAAATAATTCCATACATTGAATCTTTAATCTCTTTTTTAATCACATGATTTTCTTCCTAATCAAACACAAGGAACACATTTTCACTATATATAAAACCACCAACTTTGATTCTTTCAGCATTTGTTTGTAGTAGATTAGGTTTTAGGTAAGTAGATTTTGTAGTGTGCCCTCTGATAGGTTTTGAACTCAAAGCATAAAAATACCATTACAATTTTTATCATTTTTTGATCTTGGTAAAAGCTTAATAAAATTTTTTAAGTTTTTAACACAGCCAAACCAAAGAAAAGAATTAAGTTTTTTTAACTGAGTCAAAACACTAAATTCAAGATTTTATTTCAGAGTGAAGCCTGGAGAAAAAGAAAAAACTCATTCTCAGCCAAATTGACAATAAAATCCATTTATGTATTGTCAGACAAGAACCAAAGAGGTCGTATGTCCTCATTTTATGTTTTTTTCTGTTTATTATCAATAAATATTAAACAAACAATGGAGTATGTGTCTTATAAATCCAGTCTCAAGAATAATAAAACTTTTGAAAATATTTTACATTAAATAATTTTTTCTCTTTATTCATAAGCAAACCTTTATTTTTTAACTCTTCAATGTCAGAATTAAAGATAGACAAGAAGTGAAGAGTTTCTTCTGGTTCTTTTCCCATTCAAAGACTCAGTACTCTGTGACTCAGTGGGGGCATTTAGTGACTTTTACAACCATATCAACAAACCTGCCTCCATTTCAAGTGAAAGTGGACAGAATGTTGTCAGTATAACATTTCTACTATTAACATTATCTTCTTGATTAAAAATTGCATGGCTTCCACTACAATCAAATCCAAACTTGACTTACATTAGTATATTATCAGTTTATATCTATAGAAAGCTCTCCAATATCCTTTGCATTGTCAGTTTAACAACCTGAATAGACTAAAGTAAACACCAGAATAAGGCTCAAGATAATTCATAATAATTGGTGTTACTTCAAAATGTTTTTCTCTGAGATGTTTCCATCTAGGTAATATATTAAAACCAGCAGTTAAAAACACTTTTTTTTGGTTTGTATTTGAATGCCTACCAAGAGCAAAATCTGTATACATTGATATTGAAAGAGTTATCTTTGTTTTTTTCCGGAAGAAAAGATCATAACCATAATCTGATGCATGCTTATCTTGAGGTCTTGTTAATAAAAATCCCTATAACTTAGTTAAACTAATACTTTCAAGATTACTTCAGTTGACGAAGTTGCTGTTGAAGTCCAATTTTATTAAAAGGCTTTTAAACTAAATCATATCTTGCCTTTTTTTCAGATAAATTGAAGCCTTCAGATACTCTAAATGAATTTTAAAGATTTTATAATAAGCAGCTAAAAAGTTAGTACAATAAATTTGATTAATACAAACTGTATAATTATTATTGTTGAATTTATTTAATTATATAAATTTCATTGTATGATTATATTCATCTAAAACATACTTTTCAAGCAAAGTTAACTTGCCAATCTCAAATTTTATGCCAGCATAACCTATTTTTTTAACTTTGTTTTTCTTCATATTTTTTTAACTTTGTTTTTCTTCAAATCTTTGTAATATATTCTGAGCTAATGTTTTCTGTGCAAATGTCAATTTATCTGAGTTAAGTCTGATAACATTTTAAGCAAAATGATTTTAACTTAAAACAATATAATATAATTCAAAATATAAACAAGTTTACATGATAAGTAAAAATGTAGTACTAATTCTAAATACACCAAAGAGGCATCAGTTTTAACTCTTGCAATTTCTTATTAAGTTTTATTAAAAGTACTAAGTTAGCACAATTTAGCTAAAAATCATCATATTCCACTTTGTAATTGGAGTTTAAAAATATATGAATTTAATAGTGTCAAATTAGCACTTTTTGAGATAAATTATTTTATCTGATGAATTGTTAGTTAAAAAACACTTTTGCATTTTGCTAAACTTTAGTTGTTTCATTAGGTATTACATTTAGTAAAACTTTTTGTAATAATCTATGAAGTTAACATTTCAAATTTTTTAATTGCAAAAAATAAAAAATAAGACAAGAAAACAATAAATAATTTTTGTAAATAATAAAATAGTAATTTTTGTAAATAATAAAATATTAAAATAGTAATTTTTGTAAATAATAAAATAAAAAAAAAGTAATTCGTTTTTAGTGAAAGAATAAAACTAAAACTTACTTCCGACTAAAGTGTTATTATACACACAAGTTTTTAAACCACAACCAACTTTGGTGCATGCTGAAACACAGCAATTATAGTATGAATCTGGATTAAGATTACTTACTGTAACATTTAATGTAGTATTGCTAACTGTGTTTGAAATAGTAACTTCAGTATTGCTACACAAATAAACAAATATTATAATAAATCCTTTTCGCTTTGAATACTCAACTTCATCCCATGACAAAAACAAAGTTGTAAAGTTGACTGTTGCAACAGTAAAATTACGGGGGCAACCAGTTGGAACTAAATAACAACAAGAAAGTAAAAATGTTTATGAATATTTTTCATACCTTATACAGTAACAAAAAACTACCAATAAGACAACCAACATGGAACTAAAAAAAAAACAACTGAAAATTTATTAAAACTTAATGAACTTCCTCAATATTTTATTTGCTTTGACTTTTAAAGGATATAAAAATGTAGCTTTTTTGCTGAAGTCACATAATTGTTGTTAAAAGAGACTTTGTTTACCATAAAAGTCTCTTTCGACTAAGTTATAAGGATATATATATATATATATATATATATATATATATATATATATATATATATATATATATATACACACATATATTTATATATACATATTTATATATATATGTATATATATATATTTATATATATATATATATGTATATATATATATATATATATATGTATATATATATATATATATATATATTTATATATGTATATATATATATATATTTATATATATATATATATGTATATATATATATGTATATATATATATATATATATATATATATATATATATATATATATATATATATATATATATATATATATATATATTTATTTATGTGTATATATATATATATATATATATATATATATATATATATATATCCAAAATTTCTTATAAGCACAAAAAATGTAAATATTTTGATAAACAAGACAAATTTTTTAATTAATAAAACCATTTTATTAATTTTAAGCAATTCATGTTTCGACTATCACTCGTCATCCTCAGTTAAATTTAAATTTTTAATTTTGTTTAAATACCAATATAGATGATTTTTACAATAACAATACAAAATGCAATTATCTGTGTACAAACTATTAATTTAATAACAAAAATACGACAAAATTAATAAGAATAACAAGCCATACTAAAAGAATGAATAGGAAGTGACCAAAGAATAGGTTAAAAAGAATTTACATAGAAAGTAATAACTAATATATATATAAAGTAATAACTAAGAATTTACATAGAAAGTAATAACAGAAAGTGTCATTTGGACATGGTTGACTTGTTCAAACCAGGTTTTAACTATTCTATGAACATGCTTTCTTTAAGTTTTAATTTGAACTGATTAGATGCTGAATCTAAAACGGAAAAACACTTTTCATTTAATTGCATAAAACAATTTTCATTACCATGGAGATTTTTATAGATATGTGATATATTTTTTCTCTCTTATAATGTTCAGTTATTTGTGTCTTGAGATGGCTAGTAGTTTCACCTATATAACAGGAGTTAATTCCTGTGAAACGATTTGAACTCTAGAGGAATAGCATCTTTAGAGGAAAAAAATTTTGAAACTTTTAGTGAGACAAAAACTAGTTTAAAATTTACAGAACAGCAATATCTTTTAACAATTGAGTTCTTTTTTTAGTTAATTCCAATATTTTTCCTAAAAACGGAAGTTTAAAGTAAGACAAAGGCTCTTTGATTTTTGGTTTTGATGGATTGTTTGTGTTAATTTTGTTTAAATAATATTTATATATTTTCGATATTAGCCAAGATGGATACATGTTTCTTTGAAATACTTTGAAAAGGTTGTTTATGTTGGAGTTAAACCCTAGACTAGTATTGATTTTAAATGCTCTATCGATTAAGCATTTGATAAGACTGACTCTGTACGAAAGCGGAGTGAAACTATAAAAATTGGTGTGTAGACCAGAGTAGGTTTTTTAATGAAAAATTGTAGTAGTAACTGTAGAGTTTATTTTGTGTAAAGTTACGTCCAAGAAGGATATTTTCAAATTCACTTCTTGTTCCATGGTGAAAGAAATAGAATTGTGTTTACTATTTATATAATTAAGGAAAATACGTGCTTCATTTTCTGACTGAAAAGCAGCAAAAATGTCATTAATATATTGTTTGTAGAAAACTGGTTTAACATCATTGCAATTTTTAATCCAGTCATTTTCAAAATGGCCCATAAGCAAATTGGCAAGAACAGGTGCTAGTAAAGAACCCATGGCTACACCATCTATTTGATCATAAATATGTCCTTTAAAAAGAATATGTGTTTGCAAGGTAGCGAAATTAAATAGTTTTTTTAAATTGTTTTTAGTAATTTTATAATTTTTATTATTAAGCATAATCAAATTAACTGCGATATCAATGATTTCTTGAGGCGGAACAATAGTATATAAGCTGGTTACATCATACGATACTAAAAATTGTTTATGTAGATTAACCTGACTTATTTCTTTAACGAAGGAAAATGAATCTTTAGTGCAAAACTCTGTGTTTATTAATGGAAATAACAAATCTCTAAGAAATTTGGCTAGTTGATAATTGTAGGCACCAATAGATGATACAACAGGTTTGAAGTTTATGGTAGTCTTGGAGGAAGTTAACTTGTGAATCTTTGGAAGACCATAGATAGGAGCAGATGGGATCCGGAAGGATAAATTCTGTTGTATGTGGAATCATTGAAAAAACTTTGCTTTTAGTTTCCTCAGAAAATTTTGAAGTTGAATTTCTCTATTTAAGGTTTCATCTTTCTTAAGTTGCTTAAATTTTGTTTTGTCATTAATATTTTTGTAAATACCATTTATGCAAACTTCTTTATCTAATATTACTACGCCATTACCTTTATCAGGTTTTAGAATAATAATATTGGGATTAATTGAAGGTTTTTTTAATATTCCATGTTTTTTCAGAGTTTCTTGAGAAGGACAATAATTGTAAATATAAGAATTTGCTAAATGGGAAAGTTCAGCTTTAAGTTTTCCTGAGTCTTCATTACTTTTCAGTTTTGTATTGTTATTGTAAAAATCACCTATATAGGTATTTAAACAAATTTAAAAATGTATAAACATATATGAATGTATATATATATATATATATATATATATATATATATATATATATATATATATATATATATGTATATATATATATATATATATATATATATATATATATATATATATATATATATATATATATATATATATATATATATATATATATATATATATATATAATATATATATATATATATATATATATATATATATATATATATATATATATATATATATATATATATATATATATATATATATATATATATATATATATATATATATATATATATATATATATATATATATATATATATATATATATATATATATATATATATATATATATATATATATATATATATATATATATATATATATATATATATATATATATATATATATATATTTATATATATATATATATATTTATATATATATATATATATATACCTATATATATACCTATATATATACCTATATATATATATATATATATATATATATATATATATATATATATATATATATATATATATATATATATATATATATATATATGCATATATATATACCTACATATATATACATATATGTTTATATATATATATATATATATATATATATATATATGTATATATATATATATATATATGTATATATAATATGTGTGTATATATATATATATGTGTGTATATATATATATATATATATATATATATATATATATATATATATATGTATATATATATGTGTATATATATATATATATATATATATATATATATATATATATATATATATATGTATATATATATGTGTATATATATATATATATATATATATATATATATATATATATATGCATACATATAAATAAAATTTTACCATCTTCATCTGTTCTATAGGAAAACACTTGCCCATGCACAAACAAACCTAATTCATTCAGTACAACTGCTGTAAAGTTGTAAACAGTGAAGCTTTGAAGTGAAGAAATTTCACATGTGTAATTTGTAACAGGATAATCTTTTATTGTGTTATACGGATCATTGCATTTAATTACAAAGTATGTTGTTAAATTCCATACTGGAATATCTGAATTAACAGTAACAATAACTGAATATCTGTTAATGCTTTCAATTCTTTTAATCATCAAATCTTAAAAAAAAAAAAAAAAAAATATATAAAGATCTTATCTCAAAAATCTCAAAACCAAGTACTTTGGTTTGAAAGTAACTGAAAAGTCATTGGTTTTATTTAATTTTTGAAAAAGGTCACCGACCATGATCCTTGATTACACACTGGCTCCCATATATCAGTGAATTTTTTTTCTTCAAAAGTGTATCAACCTAGGTCTCAAAAGAACCCATTTAGAGATTTCAGAAATAATAATGTTTTAAATAAAAATAAATTATTTAAATTTTATAAAGATAAAAAACAACATTTTATAACGGAAAATTGAAAAAATCGTTTTTTATGACATTTGTTTGCAATATTTAAAAAAAAAAGGACCAGCAGAAAAGATTATAAATTTTGAAATCACTATAAAATTTTGATTCTTTTGAGACCCAAGTTGATATACTTATATATAAAGAAAAAATATAGTATAGATATATATAAAATAGATATATAAAGAAAAAAAATCACTGATATAAGGGAGCCAATGTGTAATCAAGGGTCATGGTGGTTTACCTTTTTCAAAAATTAAATAAAATGACTTTTCAGTTACTTTCAAAGCAAAGTTCATCTGTTTTTATACAGGAAACTGGAGATACACAAAAATTACCAAAAAATCAACACTAATATATAAACTCCTAGATGCCATTAACAGGCACATGTTTTTTTTTGTTCCTGTAACATATTTTTTTTTACTTTGTTTTTGCAACTTTTATCATATTTACATAAATTTTGAATTTTTTTGTTTAATTACAATTTTTATCTATTCATATTTTAATTTACTATTTTATTATAAAAATATATTTTTTATATTTATATATAGTTATTTTTATTTATTTATAATATATATTTCATTTTTACTATAATCTAATAACAAAAATGATCAATTACAGTTATATAACCATATTTAAACCTTGCCGTAACTCTAAGCCTATGCCTGACCTTGATGCTGACCCTAAACAATCCCTCAATCGATGTAGCAGTAATCCCTTGTTAGTTAGGCTATTTGATAGTGATTCGTGTATTTTTCGCTCTCTACAAATGTTATTTATGGGAACATTTTTTTACAAAAAAAGAATGCTTACAGAGACAAAAATCAAACAGGTACACAAAAATGTCCCCGATACTGCTAAAGTCCCTGTAAGTATTTGTTTTTTTGTAAAATCTGTCTCCATAAATAGCTATAAATACTATGGGTACATATATATATATATATATATATATATATATATATATATATATATATATATATATATATATATATATATATATATATATATATATATATATATATATAGGAAAGTGCTCGATGAATTAAAGTAAATTTAAACAAATTAAGTTAAAACAGAGCTGTATATATATATATATATTTTTTATAAATAAAACTACATTTTTTTTACAACAATAAGTTTCATGCTAAATGCAATCATTAGGTAAAAAATCTGACTTTTTATCGTGGAAAAATAATTCTGTAAAAGAAAAAATGTGTTAGAGAAACCTAATATTTTGATTTTGTTTGTCCAGCATAAATTAGTTCACATGGCAACACTTGGATATTAGTTCACTTCTGTTGAATAATTTATTGGGATTTTTACACAATAAAATTATTAGTTTCTTGTATAAGCATAATAGGCATTTTTTAATTATGTTCTTGTAGGCGGGGGCACTTTCTATGATAGACCAAGTTAAATTGGAAGATATTTTTAACTTATCCTTTGTATCTCATACTTATTTCGGAAGCGTGGTTGAATTTTTAAGTCTTTTACTTTGAACGATTGCTTGTAGTTCCCCCATTTAGTTTTCCACATTATTTAGTTTTTCCTCTTATACAGAACTATTTTTTCACAAGAAAAAATCTGATTTTTTACATGATGATTGCAATTAGCATGAAACTTATAGTTGTAAAAAACATGTAGCTTTATTTTTAAAATATATATATACCCTCGGAATGAGGGTCAACATTCGGCAATGCCGACCTTATTTTTCCTAATTCCTATGCTTGTATACCACGTACTATTTTTATCCTAGTTTATATCGTTACGAGTCGTGATTTCCTGGATTGTTAATATACATATATATGTAAACAAATATTTAATAGGCATATCATAATCAAAAAAATGGTAAGTCACTTTGAAGTACTATGTGCTATCTGCTGCTTATTATTTATTTTGTTTTTGTCATTAATTATTACTTATTAATTATTTTGTCATTGTCACTATTCTATATGCTTTATTGTCACTATTTTGTATATATATGTTTATGTGTATGTATGTATGTATGTATGTATGTATGTATGTATGTATGTATGTATGTATGTATGTATGTATGTATGTATGTATGTATGTATGTATGTGTATGTAAAGGTTTGTATGTATGTATATATGTAGGGATATGTGTATATTTTTATGTTGTGAGTGCGTGTATTTATAAACATTTATACAGCTACACCACGCGCATCCCTCACCACCCTCGGGAAATCTCTAAGAATGTTGGAGCTGTTTTTTAAAATTCCTAGCAGGCTGACTCTCTACTCACCTAATTACGGGTGTACATATACCTATAGAGACACTGTACTGATGAACCACCCTTAGCCTACAACGCTAAATCACTTTCTCTATAACTTTCTAGAACAACAAATCAATCTTCACACCATCTAAGGAACAAAGGAAATTCACTCCGATTACAAAGAAAGATTTGTTTGATATGCATAACATCCGAGGATTGTTTTACAATAAGATAAGGGTGGAAAAAACAAGAGCCACGATGGAAACGATTAATCAAATGATCACAAATAAATCGGACTATGACCTCACTGAAGCGGAGAGGCAAGTATTAAGCAGAGGGTTGGGATTTATCTAAAACAATCAATATGTTCTGGAAAAGATGTTCAAAGATGCAATATCAAAATTAAAAAGGAATATGCTACTTTAAGTTCATTTTAAGAACAATGAAGGACCAGCCCAACAAATACCAATGAAAAGGAGACTCAACACGGTTTGCATTCCTCCTGCATCCAACAATGCAAATTTAAATATTTTCTTCAAATGGATTAAGAATGAAACAGACACGGTGCTAAATGAATGAAGATAACACACCCCAAACTAACGAAAAACATGAAAGAAGCAATCACATCACTAAAAAGTAATAACAATATCATCATCAAACAAGCTGACAAAAGTAGTAGGATCTGCACCTTAAACAGGAGAGATTATGAAGAGAAAATTAACACCATGCTAGCAGATGATACCACATATAAACTCCTGCAATACGACCCCACCATAGAAATGGCATGAATTGTTGTATTGACAATTGATTACAACTTATTCAAAGGAGTGATTGACAAGAAGACTGCAAATTATATAGATCCAAACAATCCTTATCGCCCTCCCCTGTTCTATGGACTCCTCAAAATACACAAAACTGAAATTCCTATCCAACCTATTGTATCTGCTTGCAATGGTCCCACAGACCACCTCTCATACTTTGTGACTAAGTTCATACAACCACTAGCCGAAACACTTCCATCATATTTTAGAGACTCCACACAATTTCCCCACATGCTCCAAAATCAACTGCTACCACCTCACAAACACATCTTCGTCACCGCCGATGTTACCTCCCTGTACACTAACATACCCCATAAGGATGGTATAGAAGCCATTAAACAACTTTTTGATAACACACCACATGACCTAAGACCACCCAATTCACCACCTGTAACATATATACAGATTATGATTGACACCATTCTGACAAACACGACGTTCTAGTTTGACGACCGCAACTATTTATAAATGACAGGGATATTGATGGGTGCACACATGGCACCACCATACGCTAACATATTCATGGGCGAATTAGACAAAGCCATCATTAGACAATTTAAACAGAGCATCAGGTTCTACAAAAGATTCATCGATGACATTTTTTTCATATTCACAGGCACTATAGAAGATCTCGAACATGTATGAACAACCTGCACCCCACCATTAAATTTATTTTTACAACTCAGATACTTCTATTGACTTTATGGACCTAACTCTCTACAAGAATTATCTTGATATAATACAGAGCACACTTCACCATAACCTTACCAACACAATGAGCCTTCTACTTTTCAGTTCATACCAACCACATCATATATCACATCAAGTCTCACCCACAACCAAGAAATCAGATACAATAGGCTTATATCTGACTCCCACCACCTATTTAAGGAACTCCGAACATTAGCGCGCCAATTGGTTTTTAAAGAGTATCATCTTGATATCATTAACAGGAACACTTTTTATATACAGAACGCTCCAAAATAACACAAAAATAGATTAAGTTTAGCATGCATTTTTTACAAGACAGATCCATTTGTTTATCACTTTTACCATCCTTTAAGAGGTAGGTTAGCCACTTTACTTACATACTTTTTATTTTTAATTTTTTTCTATTACTTTTTAGTCACTCTAATAGCTTATACCATGTATTTCGGTTATACTTTTTGTATTCAGCTACCATATTGTTAGATTTTTTGATCCAAAGAAAATATATCAGACGTCGATAAGTCAGTTTGTTTGTTTTGCACTATACAGTCTTCAATTGCGTTCTTATGGTTATTATGTAAACAATCTTTGTTTTTCAACTCTACTTTTTCAGTCCGCTAGATACTCTTTGATCGATTACACGTTTATGACCTGTATAGGTCCACTTTCATATAGTATTCTACATATTAAATTATTATTCATATCTGATGTATCCATTAACTATATTGTGTGTTAGTTGGCTATCTTGAGTTAAAAATTTATCAATTTGTTATTATCTAAAACTATATTCAGTTAGGAGTTATCAGGTGAGATTTATATTCTCTGAACAATTTGTCTTACTAAAAACCACACTGCGTTTGTATACCTTAACCACATACTATTTTTATTCTAGTTTATATTGTTACAAGTCGTGATTTCCTGGATTGTTAATATACATAAATATGTAAA